ACACACACACACACACACACACACACACACACACACACACACACACACACACACACACACACACACACACGTGTGGGCACCTTTGTAATGCCTATTTCGAACGCTTCACTAGCGAGCCGCCCTGGTCCATCTACAGTGCGCCCGTCGTCACTTGGCCCCCAGGAGGCGCTGTAGATGTCGACATGCGACAGATTGAACACTAATGCTTCAGCTTCAATGCGATCGGTCACAGATCCATCCAACATCCGAATACCTGCACAAGTTAATTACCACGGTTAAAATATGCATGACCACACTAACAACGCCAGTTTTGTTTCCAAACCGGATTAAGCAAATAGACGATAATGAGACCGATAATTACATGATAATAAATCTGTATCAAATAATGTAACTGTGCGTGATGATCGATAGAGCTAGAAATCTAAACGATCTTAACCCTCAGGATGGATAGAGTGGGTTAATTATAAGGTAAGAGATCAGTGAAGCAAGTGGAAATATATGTATAGAGCTTACGTATGGAATGGAAGGTAGGTTTGAGGAACAAAAAGGTCGTGGATAAATGGAACGATATGGTAAAAAAATGAAAGCTATCAGGAGTTATCATGGAGTTAAGGAGAATATTGTTATAAGAAATGATTGAAGGAACAAGTGCTTCTAGTACGTTTAGTAGACAGTGACAAATTATATTAGACACAGGGAGAGAAGCTCATAGGGTCTATGTCCCCCAGGGTACTGCCGGAACGTACCCTGGGTACGGTCCAGTATACCGGAACGTACCCTGGTAACTATCTAGCTGATATGGTTAGGGTTAGGGTTAGGGTTAGGGTTAGGGTTAGTGTTAGTGTTAGGGTTAGGGTTAGGGAGTAGGCGTAGGCGACTCCCTAGACTCGTTAGTAGGCGAGGTACGACCCGGCATATTAGATAGTAGTATTTAGTAGCAGGGTACGTTCCGGTATACCAGTCCGTACCCAGGGTACGTTCCGACAGTACCCTGGGGGACATAGACCCTCTCAGCGGGAGAGAGGCGTGAATGCAAGATGGCCGATAGAGACAGTGTGTGAGAAAAGGAATGCATGCGAAAAATTATATTGCGCGACCAAAAGTCAAGGGGGCGTGCTATAGTAAGTAGGACTGAAATAGTAATGAGGGAGAGAGGGGGAACATAACGTAAACGAGTTTTGTCAAGGACAGAGAAAAAAGACAGTGGGTAGGTGTGCATGTGTGGGGAGATAGAAAGAGAGAGGGAATGCGAGATAGAACGAGAGAGAAGGGGAAAGGGAGAGGAAGAGAACAAAGGGGGAGAAAAAGAAACATAAAAACAAAGACACGTGTGGTTGATCGAGAGACGGAGCATGTACGTGCGAGAATGAGAGATGGCAAGCAGTAAGTGTACATGCGTGCGTGCGCGCGTGCGAATATGAGAGAACAGAGAGGGAAAGAAAGAGAAAGAGTGTGTGTGTGTGTGAGAGAGAGATAGAGAGAGAGAGAGAGAGAGAGAGAGAGAGAGACAGAGAGAGAGAG